AAAACGACTCCTGGGCGCTTTGCGTGCTGAAACTACATTTCCCAGAGGCCACAGCAGGCTCGTCGCGGTTCCCCTTAGTGCGGCTCTCCCCGGTGCGCTAACCGGCACGTGAGGCTTTCGTTCCGTTCTAGTCAGACTCGGGGTCCGCCTCAGCCCTGAAGTAACGCCCGGGATAGGTAGAGACCAGCGAGAAGTTGACGACGGCATAAAGTCTGTCGGTCGCCGTGGGGAGCGGATCGGGGGCGGTCCCCGAGGACGGAGTAAGAGGTGAGAAGCCGCAAAAGGCTCCTTCGTGAAGGAGGACCGCGCGGGGACGACTTGAGAAGGCGGCGGACGCAACCCATTGTAGCGGTGTGGCCCGGGGGCCGGGCGGGGGCGTGAGGCAGAGGTGCGGGGCGGGCGGCGGGAACCGAGGCGGCGGCCACGGCGCCCGGGAGAAGCGCCGAGGAGGTGGAGCTGACCTGGGGGTCGGCGGCTCGCCGAGGGGAAGGAAGGAGCCAGGAGCCGGGGGTGGCGTTCATTTCTACGGGGGCGGGGCAGGAACGGGGTGACCTGTGGAAAATGCCCCTGGGGCTGTTGAGTTGCCTTTGAATACACGTTTTCGCGGAGCTCGGGGAGGAAAGAGGAGGTTTTAACTTTGTCGGTGGTGAATTGGGGGGAAAAAAAAAAAGTCAAAAATGTGACCTGAGGTTTGTCAGGGAACTGTCAGCTTAGGAAGCAGCGTCAGTGACTTACGTGACACGACGGCCTCCTGTTTGGGGTTTTATGGAAGAGTCCATCCTCTTGACAGTTTGGGAGCATCTGTGTGTCAGGCACTGCCCTAGGGGCTGGGAGAGACCAGTGGAACCTGCACTTAGTGTTTGTCGGGAAGCCTGTGACGGTGGGCGTGGGGGGGTGAGGTTAAGTCGTGTTTTGGAAATCCTCTTTTGAGGAGGGAACGCGTGAGCAGGGATTGGACTCCGGCGAGGGAGGAAACCGTGTGAATACGGGGGGAAGAGCCGTCTAACGGGAAGGGACGGCGATGTCCCGAGACAGAAGTGTGTGCTTGCTGAGCCCGAGGCCTTCCAAGCCTGGAGGGACTGGAGAGGGCATAGTGAACTAGCGAGAGTTGGGCGGGAGGTTAGGGGGCTGGGGGCCTTGAAGGCCATCGGAAGACCTTGGCTTCGTTCCGTGTGTGATGGGCAGCCACTGAAGGAGTCTGCGCGAGAGTGACGTGGCCGAGCACATTTTGATGGAATCGCGGGTCAGCTGGTGGGGGCGGGGGGGAAGAAGAGACTCTGGTGGGGCCAGAGGCAATACAGGGAAACCAGGTAGGAGGCTGTTACAGCCGTGCCGGGGAGGGACAACCTCCTACAGTGATAGAACCTGCGTGTGTACACGGCGTTGGTTTTGAGGGCCTAGTGACTCTAAGATAATTTTCTGGATGCCGTGCTAAGGAGTCTGGATGTTATTTTGTTTTCAGGTATATGAGGATGATGAAAATATATTTATTTTTTATTTTTTAAAAAGATTTTATTTATTTATTTGACAGAGAGAGAATGAGAGACAGAGAGCACGAGAGGGAAGAGGGTCAGAGGGAGAAGCAGACTCCCTGCCGAGCGGGGAGCGTGATGTGGGACTCGATCCCAGGACTCCAGGATCATGACCTGAGCCGAAGGCAGTCGCTTAACCAACTGAGCCACCCAGGCGCCCAAGGATGATGAAAATATATTTATGGAGCACTGTGTGTTGGGCACTTTTATAAGCACTTTACATGGGGATCTACTGTAATCCGAAGCTGTGCGATTTGCACTACTAACAATAAGAAAAGTGAAGCACCGAGATGTTAAGTGTCTTGCCCGAGGTTTCATGTCTCGTAAGTGGAACCCAGAGTCTTGGCCCTGGTGATAGAGGAGAGGTGCAGAGACTGTCCTCCTTACTCGTTGCCCAGAATGACTGAGAACTGACATATAAGGGCCCAAGGCTTCCAAAACTCCTGAAAAAGTACTGCAACCTCCATGTTAATGACCCGTTTCTCCAGCTACTTCCTCTAAAGGTTAATATTTCACCAAGTTTTGAGTTATTGCATCTTCTTAGGCTTCAGTATGTTTCATTCTTCCTCTCCCCCTTGTCCTGTGCCATCCTTCTGACCCTTTATTTTGCTTTATCATTTTCATCTACTTTCTATCCATCTCTTCTCTCTGCCTCCTCTAGAAAAAAAATATGTGAAGGCAAAGGAGGAAACTAGGTATAAGGGACAAATATTAAAGATCTAAGTTTCCGAGGATATGGTTGTTTCATTCCCCTTCCGTCTTTGTTCCAGCTCCCAAGAGTGAGAGCTTAGGGATCACATAGCCCAACGAGCCTAACCTGCCCGGGGACCCAGCATCTATGGGGAGTCTCTTCCATCGCCACCCACAAACATCTTCTGTACCCATCACTTATTGATTCCCACCTCTCCCAATGAAAAATTTCCTTCCTTTGAAAAATGTTCCTATAGGGGTGCTTGGGTGGCTCAGTTGGTTAAGTGGCTGCCTTCGGCTCAGGTCATGATCCCAGGATCCTGGGATCGAGTCCCGCATCGGGCTTCCTACTCAGTGGGGAGCCTGCTTCTCCCTTTGCCTGCTGCTCCCCCTACTTGTGCTGTCAAATAAATAAATAAAATCTTTAAAAAAAAAAAAAAATGAAAAAGGTTCCTATAGTTTCTACCTCTGCCCCAGTCCCGTTTTCCCACTTTGAGCTGCCCGTCCCCCCCATGCTGCACCTTTGACTCTCCACACCTTTCTTTTCAGTGGTCATGTAAACACACTCATGCCAGACTGTTCATTGGCCAGATCAACACCTTGCTCAAACCTCCTTTGTTTTGCCTACCCCCCCTTTAGAGGCTGGAAGAGTATTTATTTTCTCAGCCTCCTTTTCTACTGGCCTCCACATAACGCAGCTGTGGTCAGTGAGATGTAAGCTGAAGTTTGCTGAGGGGCTTCTGGGACAAACTTTCTTGAAAAGCACAGATGTGCTGGTGCTTCCCACCCCCGTTCTTCCTACCTTGAATGCACATACTTTACCTGAAGCAGAGCAGCCATCATGTGACCGTGATGGAAAAGCCATGGAACTAAAGACATTGAATTAATTTTGTCTTTGAAACGATGCCACCCACCTCCCGATTTGTTATGTGAGGAAAAAAATAAAAACCCTGCTTGCTCGTAAGCCTTGTTAACTGGACTTTCCAGTACTTGTAGCCATAAAACTCTTCTGATAGATACACCTGCTCTCCATGCTGGTCTCCCTCTAGTTATCTTTCTCAGTGTCTCCTTTCTCAGGCAAGTGAATGAGTCCTTTTCAGCCTTTAACTCACTCTTCAACCCACTAATATTTAACAGAGGTTATCAGTAACCAAAACCAAAGGCCATTTTTAATTATCTTACTTTAACCCTCCATGGCATATGAAAATATTAACTGTTCTTACCTTATGTGAAATTCTTTTACTTTTGTGCCACCATCTTCAATTTTTCCTTTTGTGTTTCATTTTCCTTTTGGTTGCTGTTTCCTCTCAGCTCTCACTGGTTCCACTTCCTCCACTTCCCCCGTTCAGTAACAGTACTCTCAGAGTATCCTTCACAACTGTCCTGCCACTTAGTCTAGTGTCTGTCAGGAATCTTCACTTGGATACCCACAGACTCATTAAATGCCCCCAGACTGAACTTATCATTTCCCCACAAAATTGGTCAACTTTGTGTGTTCTTAATTATGGTACTCCATCCACCCAAATAAATTCAAGTTCCTACATTTAATCAATTACCACGTTATCTAGATTCTGCCTCATTATTGCTTGAATTCTTCCTTTCCTCTCCCATGCCATGGCCAGTGTTTTAGTTTAGCCCTTGAAAAGCAAAGAATATATCTTATCCATTTTGATCTTCTCATCACGTCTATTACATATTTAGCACTTATTAAGTATGTATGAAATAAATGAAATTGTCTTAACTACTGTCATCACTAGAGATCTATAAAACCTACGATTGTTTTGAATATGTTTTGAGTTGCAAAGATTTTGTTAATATGTCACATTTTCATGTCTATTAGTGTTTAACCTTTTCTCCTTTTCACTTTGATACAGAGTTTGGTACAAAGATACATATTTGAATCCTATGTACTTAGAGACTATATTTAAGTTATACTGTTTTCTAAATAATTAGCTTACTTAACAGTAGTTTAATGACTGTTAGTTGAGAACTCAAAATAGCATGCTATTGCATTAAGATCTGTACAATTGTTTCATCACCCGGGTAGCAACCAGCCTATATTTTAGGGGAGAAAAAAACAGTGCAGGAGGAGGGGGAGGGACATGGATGGATAATACTAGGATTTGGTAGAGGTAGAGAATTTGGCTCAAAACATCCAGGGAAACCAGACTGTGAAATAGGAGCATCTAGGTAACATATATAACATGGTAAAAGATCAAAGATTTCCCAGTATTGGTTATATTTATAGGTTTATAGCATTTTAGAGCTAATAGGGATCCTGGAGACCTTTTAAATTCAAAATCCCTCATTTACCAAATAAGGACACTGTGACCTGGTGAAAGTAGGTGACTTGTCCAAGTTAGTGGCAGATCAAGACTACATACCAAGTCTTTGGGCTGTCCAGTTTAGCACTCTCACCTTTTCTCTCCAGTGTGAAGTCTCTGATATCCAAAGAAGATCTGCAGTATGACATAACAGAACTTACCTTCAGCATGAATCGTCATTGTTTAGAACATTAGCTATTTAAACCTTCTGGTGTAAAGGAATGTTTTACATTCTGAATTAAGATTTCTCTATTTTATATGGTTTCTTTGTGGTGGTATTATCTGATATAGAAACTTAAACTTCAATTAAAAGATTCCTACAATCATCACATTTATTAGGTTTCTATGTTACATGACTTATCTGATTATCACCAAAGAGTTAATCCTGGTGAAGGGTTCAATGAAAAAACTCAGGTATGAGTTCTCTGATGTCGTGTAAGGTTTGTACTCCGACTGAAGGCTTTTCCACATTCGTTACACTGATAGGGTTTCTCTCCTGTATGAGTTCTCTGATGCACTATAAGGGATGAATTTTTAATGAAGGCTTTTCCACACTGATCACATTCATAGGGTTTCTCACCAGTATGAATTCTTTGATGTTCAATAAGGTATGCACTCTGGCTGAAGGCCTTTCCACATTCGTTGCATTCATAAGGTTTCTCTCCAGTATGAATAACCTGATGTACAGTAAGGGAAGATCGCCCAGTGAAATGTTTTCCACATACCATACATTCATAAGGTTTCTCTCCAGTATGAATTCTCCGATGTTGAGTAAGAGATGAATTCTTGCTGAAAGCTTTTCCACACTGATTACATTCAAAAGGTTTTACTCCAGAGTGAAGTCTCTGGTGTTCTATAAGGTATGTACTTTGGCTAAAGGATTTCCCACATTTGTTACATTTGTAGGGTTTTTCTCCAGTGTGATTTCGTTGATGCAGAGTTAGGGTTGAGCTTTTACTAAAAGCTTTTCCACATTCACTACACTCATAGGGTTTTTCTCCAGTATGACTTCTCTGATGTACAATAAGGTGCATGCTCTGACTAAAGGCTTTCCCACATTCATTGCACTCATAGGGTTTTTCTCCTGTGTGAGTTCTCTGATGAACTGTAAGATTCATGCTTTGGGTAAAAGCTTTCCCACATTCGTTACATTTGTACGGTTTCTCTCCAGTATGAATCCTTTCATGTTGAATAAGGGATGAATTCTTACGGAAAGCTTTTCCACACACTTTACACTGATAGGGTTTCTCTCCAGTGTGAGTTCTTTGATGAACAGTAAGGTTCATGCTCTGGCTGAAGGTCTTCCCACATTCGTTACATTTGTAGGGTTTCTCTCCAGTATGAGTTCTTTGATGTACAGTAAGGGAGGAGCGTTCAATGAAATGCTTCCCACATACATTACACTTATAGGGTTTCTCCCCAGTATGAATCCTCTGGTGCTTAAGAAGAGATGAGCTCTGGCTGAAGGTTTTCCCGCATTCATTACATTCATAGATTTTCTTTCCTACAAACATACTTTGAGTTTTAATTAATTCAGGATTCTGTTTAGTGTCTTCTCCATGTGAATTCTGATTATGGGGCCTTTGTCCCACAGGAATACTTTGTTGTATATCAAGGACTGACCCCTGACTAGAACATCTTTCAAATTCATGACCTCCACATGCCCTCCTCTCAGGGAGGGTTTCCTTATGAGTAACGGCCGCTTGGCGCAGATGTCTGTCCTGGTTTTTCTGTTGCCCATCTAACCAATTATCAGGTTCCCAGGCTTCCCCTAAAGAAGAAGGCCAGAGATCTTCCCTTTCCATTATTACCCCATAGGATAAATATTCAGTAATGCTGGGCTTTATAGTTGATTTTTTGGTTTCAAGTCTTGTCTCCCAGTCTGAAAAAAATAAAAATTCAAATACACATCGGTTTCTCTGCTGGAAGACAAAAAACTGTCTAAGGTGGGGAGGAGAGAAAGAAACTGAGAATAACTGTGGGGCACATGTGAGAGCTTTCAAAGATGACCCTTCAATGAGGAAGAAAACCAGAACGGAGGGAAAGAACAGTGAACCAGTTCATAAATACCAGGAGAACTAGAGGAGGCAGTAAGCAGAGAAAAGAGTAAGCCTGTCTATGCAGGAGGGATGGACACTGAAATCACTGACCTTTGGACAAGGCTGAATAATGAAGAGGGAATGAAGGGAAAATATACAGACAAGCTAGGATCGGGGGAGGCAGATCAGAAAGCCCTGGTATTCCCACCAGCAGTTTCTTCTCCCCTGCAATGCTGCCTCTAATTCTGACACTAAATCTTTGTACAACACCACAGTGTAACACCATGAAAGATTGTTGGCTCTGGAATCAGACACACTTGGGTTTAAACCCTGGCTGTTAACTTACCCTCTTAACTAGTTGTTTCTCTGGGTTTTAGTTTTCACAGACATAAAATAAAGATAAAAATAATCTGATGAGGATTAAGTAAGATAATGCATATAAACTACCCTTCAGGAATATGCTTGTTTGGAACATAAAATACCACAACCTACTTGAAACTTAAGGGAGGATGGCACAATCTAAAGGTTCACCCCACCACCAACTTTCAACAGGCTATAAGTTTCTCATTCTCTTTAGGTAAGAGGGTCCTACAGGGCCTTACCGTTTCCTACTAAATACCCATTTGTTAGAGATGTGAACTGCCCTCATTCAAAGATAAATGATACACAGAAAGTAACAAATTTGGAAACTATGTAGAGGCTCAAAAAATAAAATTTTAAAGTAATAAAAACAGGCAGGGAGAGGCAAAGCAGGATCTGTTAGCTGCTTGAGATGGGGCTGAAGGAAGGACCTTGTGACCACTCTGACTTTCTCAGATCCCACTTCTTATCCTAGACAAAGTGGCTGGGGGTGGGGGCCGGGCAATGAGAGGCAGAGGACAGAAAACTACAATCTGAGAATCAGCTGTCAGCTTGATCAAAATTACCAGAGCCAAGATCAACACTGAACCAACAAACCAAAGGCCTGTGAGCAGGAGGCTTTACTATGAAGCATGAGGTATGCATTAACTGGACCACCTCCTTGCAACCTGACCTGCTTATGTAAAAAAAGAGAAAAAGTGGAAAGCCACGCAGGCTCCACTTCTAAAACCACCAGGTTACCCCAGAAAGGACCTATCCAATTGAGTGTGAATATCAACAGGCAATACATGAACTGGAGGCTACCTCCTGTACTGTCACTGTATCACATCCAACTGTCCAACCAAAGCTGTACCCAATAAACAACATAAAGGGCAAAGGAGGAGCCATTCACACTGTTAGACAAATACAAACTCAAGACAGAACTGCCCTCATTCAAAGATAAATGATACACAGAAAGTAACAAATTTGGAAACTATATAGAGGTTCAAGAAATAAAATTTTAAAATAATAAAAACAGGAGAATGAAGAAAAAAACATAAAAACCACCTGGAAAATAAACACTGGAAGAATAATGAAATGCTTCCAGTCATCAAAAGGTGTCAAAAAGGAAGTAAACAAAAACAGTGACATACTGGAAGGAGATCTTTGCAACACACAGCCCATACAGGAGGACTCGAACCTAGATCTGGAAAACAGTGTCGTGGAACACTAAGCCCACCAGAAAAATGGGCAAAAGACTTGAATAGGCACTTAAGAAAAGGAAACGGTGGTGGGGAGTAAATAAGCAAAGATACCCAATCTCAACAGTAACCAGGAGAAGGGAGAGTAAAGCTCCAATGAGTAACATCCACCTGAGTAAGAAAATAAAAAAGTGCAGACTGATAGCTTCAGATTTTAGAAAGATGTGCTGTAATGCAAACTTTGGCATACTGCTGGTGGAGATGTAATTTGGTTCCGGTGTTTGAAAAAGTTTAATACTACCTAGTAATGTAGAACAGGCACACAGACTGTGATTTAGCAAACCCACTAGTAGGTACATACACTTAGGGAATCTGCTTTGCAGAGGTACACCACAATTCATAATTTTTAAGGTAACATCATGCACAAGAGCAAAAAACTGGAAACAACCCAATTGCTACCAACAACAGAATGGATAACTAAGTTGTGAAATATTTATAACAACAGGATAACTGAAAACAGTGAATGTTAAGGATGTCATGTTTGTGTCTCCCCAAAACTCACGTGTTGAAGCGTAATCCCCAATGAGATAACATTAGGGGGAGGACCTTTGGAAGTCATTAAGTCATGAAGGTAAAGCCCTTATAAGAAGTGACAGATGACAGAGCTTGCTTCCTTTCTCTCTGCTCTCTATCATGTGCAGATGCAGTGTGAAGGCAGCTGTCCATGAAGCAGGAGGAGAGCCCTCACAAGGAAGCCAACCATGCTGGCCCCCCATCTCAGACTTCCAGCCTCCAGGAACTATGAGAAATAGATGTCTGATGTTAGAGCTACCAAGTCTATGGTGTTCTGTGACAGCAGCCCGAACCAACAGAGAACATTAACTAAAGCTACGTAGAATAATCAGAATTAATAAATAATTTAAGCAGAGTCACACAAAAATATATATAGTAAGAGGCCATTTAGATAAAGTTTAAAAACAGGCTAAAACTAAATGTATTTTTTAGAGATTCCTTTATGGATGGCAATACTGTAAGGAAAAGCAAGGAAAGAGAATTATCACAAATGTGGGAAGAATGGTTATGTCTTGGGTAAGAGGATGTGAATGAGAAGGCTCAAACAAAGCCTTTCTAAGATACAAGCAACGTTCTGTTTCCGAATCTGGGTTCTAGTGCCTGGGTGTTTGCTTTCCTTATTATTTGTTCATCTTTATCATCATGAACTATAGGGAAAAGCTGTATGGCATAATGGTTAAGACAACTTTGGAGCCAGGCTACCTGGCTCCACTTAGCTAGGTGACCTTGGTTCTGTCTGTGCTCCTGTTTCCTCATCTGTTAAATGGCACCTATTGTATAGTGTTGATATACGAACAAAAATTAGTTAATACTTATAAAGAGCTTAGAATATGTAGATTTTTGCTAAATAGTATATGTATTTTACATATTCTGTATATATGACATTTCTTAAAATGAGAACAACAAAATATTTGCTATTTTGGAAAATATTAACAATTTTAAGTTGAAACATCACTATGTACTAAAGAAAAGAGACTTAGTATATCTTCATGGAATTTGGAGATCTAATTTAAAAGTTAATTCTGGAGATTTCCTGCAGGAAATGAAAAATATCCATGCCAACAATTTTTTTAAAAACTGACTGAAGTGATCGCTCCGGGTACATGGGGTGCCAAAAACAGGGAAGCCGTGTCTACAAGGGACTGAGGAAAGACCAATGTGACTCCAGAATTGCACACGGCCAGTACTCTATACATGTGTAGAGAAAACCAAAACACAATCTTAAATATGAAAGATTTAGTATTTATAGAACTCCTATGCCATTCCTGAAATACTGCTTAGATAGTCGATTTGAACAAAGGATTTATCCAGGAGTTCCAGAATGCTCGATATTAGGAATCTATTAATATATTAATGGGACATGGGAAAAAGGACCTGTGACCAACCCAAGGGATGCTTCAGAAGTATTTGATAATATCCAGTGTTGGATCCTGATTCAAAACCAAAATTATAAGCAGTGTACCAAGCATACACGTAAAACTCTAGAATTCACACTAGCAACAGAATCAAGGAAAGGATGCTTACTATCTAATATTGTTCCCAAAGTGTGACCAGTACATTAGACAACTTAGAAGGGAGGAAATTTTACTTTTCTCAGATCACATGACTGTCTCCCTGGAAAACATAAAAGTGTTAGGGTAGCTGTACTCAGAATTAGTGAAGTGTTGAAGGGCTGGGACTGGAGCACTAGGGATCAAAAACTGTAGCTCTTCTAGGATTGGATGAGGTTTCAGATGCTTGCTATTTCTCTATCTCATTTATCAAGGACCCTGTAACGTGCACAGCAATGTGCCTGGCCAGGATAAGGGTTCATTGATTGTTAGCTTTTATCATTACCCTTATTATTTTGTGTTAAACAATATACAGCCCCCTCTTCCTTTTTTCCTAAACAGGACTTTGGAGTGATAGCCCATTCTCTCTTTTTGTCTTAGAATGTCTAGTTATAGGATTTATATAATTTTGGTACTCATCAGGACATCAACAAGAGCCCCCAGGACTGAGGCATCTGGGAGAACACAGATCCTTCAGTCCTTATGGCTGACACTGGCCATAGTAGAGGCCAAGAGCCTGCAGAGAATTGGGGTGGGTACAGCTCTCGGGCAGCAGGTCCTGCTCTTCCTATGGCAAGTCGATTTCTTTCTTTTTGTCTTTCTTCAATCCCCTGTGTAGTAGGTAAGTTACTCCTTCCACTCCACCACTTAATTCACCTGACTGGACTTCCTACCTAACACTCTTGCTACTGTACAATGCATTCTCCATATAGCAGCCAGATGGATCCTCTGAACATGAAATATCTCTTTAA